TTATTATTATTATTATTATTATTATTATTATTATTATTATTATTATTATTATTATTATTATTATTATTATTATTATTATTATTATTATTATTATTATTATTATTATTATTATTATTATTATTATTATAATAATAAGAGTATATAAATAATAAATTTAATTAAATATATAATTATATAATAAGCTAATAATTTATTAAATAATAAAAATATTTTCTTCTTTTATTATTTACTAATTAATTTATATTTATAAATATTATAGAAATTAGAAAGATAGAAATATTTAAAAAATATTTAAAATATATTAGGGAAATATTTAAGACATATTAAGGAAATATTTAAGATATATTAAGGAAATATTTAAGATATTTATAAGAAATATTTAAGAAAATTTTAGGAAATTTTAAGGAAATCTTAAGGAAATTTTAAGGAAATTTTAAAGAAATTTTAAGGAAATTTTAAAGAAATCTTAAGGAAATTTTAAGGAAATCTTAAGGAAATCTTAAGGCAATTTTTAAGAAATTTTTAGGAAATTTTAAAGCAATTTTTAGGAAATTTTAAGGTAATTTTTAAGAAATCTTAAAGCAATTTTTAGGAAATTTTAAAGTAATTTTTAAGAAATTTTTAGGAAATATTTACGATTAATATATTATTTACTTAGTATTTATAGCTTTAATTTCTATTTATATATTTATTACGAATATTTATTTATAATACTACGGCATTTTTAATTTATATAGTACTATTTTAAAGAGGTAAGTAAAATACTTCTATTTTAATAAACTCTTTACTTATAGACTTCCCTAGACTAATTATTCCCTATTATCCCTTAACTCTTAATTATACTTTTTATTTATTTATATTTTTAATAAAGATTTAAATAAAAATAGCGGGGTTTATTTAAAAATCCGTTTTATTATTATTAAAATTATTAGCGGGGGTAAGCTAGACCGGCTTACCCTTAACTACCTTACTATTCCGGCCTATTTACTTAGGGGTTTTAAAAATTTCTAAAAATAATTAATATTAAGTATAACGATATATAAATATTAATAAAGTAACTTACTAAAAATATCCTCGTTTAGTACGAAGTTAGGGTAATAATACTTATAAAATACTAAGTAAGTTAGTTTATATACGTCGGGAGGAGGGTAAACTATAAAATCTAATTAAGAGGAGCGTTAATTAAGGAATAAGTTATACTTATTATAGCTAATAACGTCCTACGATATATAGACCTTATAGCTCTCCTTGGGGCTAAGCTTAACGTTTATCTTTATCTAAATAACGTCCTATTAAAAATAGTTAATTTTATAAACTAAAAATATTTTAAAAATATTTTTACTTATAGTACCGTCTTTTTTAAGAAAAATAGTAAATAACGTCTTATTATTTATAATAGCCTTAGGCTTTTAGGGGGTATCTAGGGGCATATCTTAGCCCTTTATAAGTAATATTATTTTAATATAGTATCTTATAAAAAACTATTAATAAGGCTAAAAATATTAATATAAAATAAGAAATAACTTATAAATAACCTTAAAGTTAATAATAGTAAAAAGGGATCTTTTATAAAAAATCGTAGAGTTAATACGATAACCCTTTTTAAAATACTTCTTAAGTATACTAAGAAACGACTAGTAATAGTTATTAAGGTAAAAGCTATTAGCCTCTAAGTAACGGTAATAAAGTTCTCTTAATAATAAAATTACTTAACCTTATTATTATAAAAATAAATAAATAAATCGCATATTTAATTATAATAATAAGGATAAAACTTATACTATCGGTTTTAAATATAAAGAGATTCTAAAGCCGGCCCTACTTATTATTAATATAGGACTTAAAACTATTACTATTATAATAGTAAAAAGGTATTATAAAATTAATTTAAAAATGTTTTTAATTAATTATTAATAAATTTCGAGTACGATAGTAAGTTTCGTAATAAAAATTTTTAATAAAAGTTGCGATAAAAAGTAAAAATTTAGAAAAAGGGATACGACTTAGTTAAGGTAAAAAAAAGGTATAGGTCGGAATTATTTTTTATAAAACGGATTATAATTAGGTAGTAATACTCTAATTAGCTATAATTTATTTTTAAAATATTTCTAAAATATTTCTAGCCCGAGTACCCTAAAAAAAAAACTAATAAAGTCTAATTAGTTAAATTTAGCCGGGATCTATTAATAACTAAGTACTTACTACTATATACGGGACTCCTACCTTAACTAGGGGGGGTTATTATTAGTTTATGTGTAGACTCGTTATATCTCCCGCTATACTACCTAGTGCCCCGTTCGGACGAGAGAGCCGAGTAGCTGGGCCGTATTGAGGGGGGTGTCTCGCAGCCCGCGCGCACCGCTGCCAGGGCCGACCTTGTCCAGAGCTGGCCCCACGTGGCCGGCATATGGAACTCTACAATCGTTTTATCAATCAGCTCAAATACTCCATATTCATTTTTGCAAATAAGATATGGCTTGTATGTCAGCAGTCGCGGAGCGTTGCTCTCTAATTCCGTGGCAATTATATTGGTCCGGAGAGACCCAAAGTCGCGCAATTTATTACTCAACTTGTCCTGCCAAGTTGTTGAAGAGTAGACAATGTCGGAGGATGTTTTCTGTCAGCGAGATTGATTAAACCTCATATCTTGTACTTACTGTCGCGCGCCTCAGTCGAGGTACCTTCGCGGGATCGGCTCTCAAGGTAAGCTACTCCGTAAGGTATCTCGAGCTCGCATGTATATTTAGCCTTGACCTGAATGAGCGCCTGCGAGATCTAATGCGGATAGATGAGTAAGATCCAGTCATGTGACGGATTGGCCTTGGAAGCGGGGCCAAGTTCTACCTCACATTGGTTTGCAGCCTGACGATAACCTAATTAATTCCAGTATGCCTTTGAAGAACATGGGCTGTTACTTCATGACATATCCGCTAACGGAACGTACACTTGACTGTGACTCGAACATGTCTACGGACACGACGTTTCTATGCTCTATTTGCAAGCAGGTAGTTCAGCCAACATCGAGCCACTCCACCTACAGTCCTTTGATCACGCCACCAGGCCAAACTCTCGACGCCTTTCGAAAGGCAGTATTACGAGACTGCTTCATCTGCTCAAAGTTATGGAACTTAAGTGAGCTGCACAGGATAGGGTGGGAGTCCTTAGATCCCCAATTATGGTGGCCATTGAGGTTCAGAGTCGAGAAAGAATATTATAAGGGCCAACTCCACCAGATCAGAGTGATGGTCATATACCGAGACCCCACGCAGATCCACAGTGAACATGTTACAGTCTCACGATTTAGGTTGATTCCTTCATCTGGTATGGTCGCCCACTCGTCAATGCCCAAGTTTAGCCCTCTACGTTAGGCACACAGCACCAGCTAACATTATTGATAGAGAGCGAACACTCGGAGCTCTTCTCGTTCGACAACATTGACAAAAGCACTGGCTCCCCAGAAACTCTAGACTTAGCTCGTTCTTGGTTCCAAGCGTGTCTCCAAGGTCATGATCAATGCAAGCGCCTACCTACCTCGGCCGTCAACTGGCTGCCAACTCGGCTTGTCGACATAGGTTCCAAGGGAGAGACAAGCTGGAGACTTGTTATCACCTCAGAAGATCCAGAAGTGAAGCGCTGTCAACCGCCCCCTCATTATATGACCTTGAGCTACCGATGGGGCACCGAAGCTCAAAAGGTGCTTTTGTCATCGCACAACCTGGAATTTCTGCGTCGTGGGAGTCTCATTGTGCAACTACCACAAACATTTCAGGACTTGGTTGTAGTCGCACATCGTCTCGACATTCGGTATGTCTGGATAGACTGTCTATGCATCATACAGGACTCGCGGAGTGATTGGGAAAAGGAAGCGCTTACGATGGGAGATGTATACACCAATGCAGCTGGCAACATTGCAGCATCTGCGTCGAGTAGCCCTGCTGGTGGGTTATTCCGATCTCGTGTCACAAAGGACATCCGGCCGGGCATCGTAAAGTCAAACCTCGCTTCCCAAGAACCCGAGGAGTTCTACATATTTGATAAAGGATATTGGGACCGCCACCTTCTGTATGGTGCTCTGCACAACAGGGGATGGGTGTTCCAGGAGCGGTTCTTATCACCGCGACAAATCTACTTCACAAGAAGCCAGGTTATGTGGGAATGCTTAGAGGAACACAAATGCGAGGGATTTCCACGAGGAATTCCACTTCATGAATCCTCGAAAAGCATCAAACGCCTCCTTTCACCACAAAGGAATGACAATGAGACCAAAGTTGAAGGCCTCATGCCACTTGATGCTTTGGATCTCTGGCTTGATATCGTCGCTACCTACTCCAGGTGCGAATTCAGCGTGAAAGAGGACAAGCTTTACGCCCTAGGGGGCATTGCCAAGCTCTTCCAGGAAGTTACAGGTGACACCTATCTTGCTGGCTTGTGGCGCTCACGTCTTCTGCATCAGCTAGATTGGTTTACATTGATGCCACAGCCGAGGGTTATGAGCAAATACAGAGCCCCATCTTGGTCATGGGCATCTGTTGATGGGCCAGTACAGCCTACAAACCCTTCTCAACGACATCACTTTCTAGCAGAGGTAATGGACGCAAGTGTGACAACGACAAGCGTGGGAAACGACTTGGTCAATGTAATCGGTGGTAGCATAACACTTCGAGCCAAGGTGTATGACACAACTTATGAGCGAGAACATTCACCTATAAACAACGGATTTACTCATTTCGACTCTACGGACAAAGCTTTCCCTCCATTTGCGACATGGCCTTACCTTGATGCACTTCAAGACAGTCTGGTAAAGAGCGGTCAGACATCATTACTGCCCTTAACAAACGAGGAAGTCAATTGGAAGGATCTTGATAGGGACCAGTCTGGTCATAACAATGACGTTACTTGTCTTATCCTGGAGAAAGTTGGCGCTTCCAAAAACACGTATCGTAAGATCGGATGGATGAAACTTCAGGGAGAAAGGGCTCATGGTAAAAAACACCAGGATGTCATAGACGCTATTATTTCAGCCCATGAAAGTGATCGAGGGTGGACAGAGATCATTTTGGTTTGAAGGGTGAACTGAAGCAGAAAATTCCTGGAGCTTTTTCGAAAATACCTGCGCCGCTTTCTACTGAAGGATATTTATTAATGCAAAGCAGAGGCAGCCCATGCCGCGATTTTACATGATGAACCTGAAGCAACAAGGTGGCATAACATCCAGTATGAAACTGTGACACGACATGTTCCTAGTCGTTGGCCGTTCTCTCCATAACTCAGTGTCCCACAACCAGGATGTGCTCGCCTGACGGCATCTAACATAAGTAATGTGTTGTTCTCATGTACGAGGTCAAAAGGCCATTATAGATGCATCGTTGCCGTCTCTGAACACATTGCATCGAGATCACACCATTATCCGTTTGCTTCGCTTGTAAGTCTTACTTTGAAGGCAAATTTCGACCCCAATAATAAATATTATCTCTGGATTTCAGAAATTAGATGTGTGAAATCAGATATTTCCATCGCGTGGGGCTTGTTTCGACAAAGTTCGATGCCATTTCTTTTTTCGTTGCCGTAATCCCAGGTTCTCGTGCTCTGCGAATGATTATGGTATACAAATGGATGCGATGATGATTGTCGTCATATCAGAATTCGAGACATGATTCAACACGCATACCGAAATCGAAAATCTATGGTCTTGTTCTCTGCAAATACCATGTTCCACTTCATCGCAGCTCTGATCTGAAAACGTGGTATTTGAAGCCGTCGAAAAACGGAGCTTAGGGGCCAATATCATACGATGCCTTGTAAGAATCTGCAAGCATACTTTTGATCTAAAGTCTATTTTCAGCTTTGCTTTGACGATGAAGTACCGATTCAACATTGCAGATGCAGTTGAGAGTGCCTTGTCTCACTATACTACCTAGGTTTATGATCAACCATAGAAGACATTAGTCCTTAAGAAAACATACATGTAATGTGGAGGTTCGATGTCGTATTGAAAATTGATTCTACATAACAGAGTCCCCGTAGCACTCTCCTATCTCGCATCTTTATCACTCGGGATAAAAGAGGCGTAGTGTTCTATCGGATTCGCGCAAGCAAATACAAAACCAGGGAAGCCTACACCGTAGCCGCGTCATGGACACGTTCATAGCATACTCAAACAGCTATAGCAATGAAAAGTGATTGAAACTAAAATAGCTTTCAGCCAAGTCATGCCCTGTCACTATTAGTGACAAACAGAAAGCGATGGACTCACCAGCATATAACGGCTGGTTCAGTAATCCTCAAGACCTATCCCATGCCCGGTGAAGCGTGTATCCCCAGCATATATCATCCATTGACGAGTCGATTTTTAATGTAAAGTGCATAACTCATAATCAACTATTTACACTGAAAAGGCAAGAAATGCATGCATTGAAAGTTAATTGACTTGAGGTCAGTTCCTGTTAAATGCTGTGGGTCAAGGACTCACCTCTGTTTCAACTCAACCTTCTTTCATTCTATAAAGTACCTACTTTAATTACTTTGAAACCTCAAGGACAGCTACATATCTTTTTAATTGCACAGGGCAAAAAATCATAAAATTGGTAGATACTGAGGTTCAAGTTCCAGTTTACTGTTGTTTCTTCCATCCACCACTTAATCTGTGGAACACTGACGGGACTGGAGCCTCTCTGCCGAAACCAAGTCAGGAACTATGACCAACTCCTGGCTTAGCCGTACCCCTGACTTGTCAGAAACAATCCGTGATCCGCCGGCCTAGACCGCGGGAAAAAGACGATCAGAGTTCCTTAGTTATTGTAGATACCCCAGTCGGGCGAAAATAAGCTTACTGCCAAAGCAGATTTGAACGCCGTTGCGAGTTAACGCCCCGACATGGAGTTCCGGAAGGAATGACTCGGCCCAGGGGTCAGTCACGAATCGCCGTTCCTTGTTCCGTTGGTTGATCGAAGCTTCCTGGGGACACCCTTCAGACATGAACTTACTCCGAATTGGACATTCGGCATCTTGGCCATTGGAGAGCATTCAATTATTGATCCCGGGATTCGGCAACTGAGTAAGGTACACATGTCTCTGAAGCCTGCCATCGACCCGAGGCCAAGCTCGACCACCCCCGCCTTCTATTTTCTTACAGCGATCGAATCGGTTCTTCCCCCCTTCACCCTCGATTTCCAGCTGATATATCACCCGATGATTAATCATTTCAATTCCTCTTCCTCGCATTCCGTGACAGATGGTTGGGCTGAGCACACCGGTAGGCTGGGAGCAGCCCCGGATAGTGACGGAATGGAGACCGACAACAGTAACTGCCAACTGATCACCCGACATACCTGCGTCAGGAGACTTGCCGTCAATCATTCAGTCCGATTAGCAAATTCTGGTCATTTCGTCACAGATCTAGACTTCTAGGGTATTCGAGTAGCCCGCAAGTCAGATTTTCCCGTTCGGGAACATTGTGTACCGAACCCCTGGTGAGCTTATTAGTCGGCCGTGCCGGGCTATCCTGTGTCGTGGCACTGCATCGACTGCAACACTTAGGCAAACGTCCGAACTGTCAAAAGGGCAACCCTTGAATCCGAAGTATTGGTGGTGGTCTGAGACGGAGCGTGTACCAGACCCTCCTCTGTGCACAGGCACACGGCACCGTGGCCGGAATGGGGGGCACGACAGGGAATCGCTCTCGCGTTCTGTTTCTCGTTGACCGTTGGTCGCACACACAGATTTATGGCGATCTTAATGAGTGTTTAATAGATCGTCGAGATCATGTTTGCCTCGGACTGATCTACTGCATAGTATACCACATGCACATCGTCGACCCTGGCGACGAGAAGTATGAGCAAGATGGCATCCATGAATTTCCAACACCATTGTCCGCACGGAATAGTCGCTCGGTATGGAATTGAAATTGCTCGTATTAGTTGCCAGTGAGAAGTGACATATAGAGATGTGAAAGATTTCCCAATCGGGCCGGCGATATTCCCCTCTGTTGTCGAGAGGTCGGAAGACCATTCTGTGCTCGGCAAGGGGCTCATCGTCTGATGTTCTCCAACGCCTCATACTAGCGTCATCGGCTACTGTACGAGAGTTCCCGGACTTATCTGAAGAAGCCGAGAAGAAGTAGGTACGGCCATTAAAGGAGCCCGATAGTGGATTTCACAAGTGGGGGCTCTCTCGTCATGACGCGACCAAGCCAGATTAGGATTGAGGGGTGCAGATTTGACGGATTAGTAGCCATTTGACGTGATGGACCGTCAAGCAACCTCGTAGTCCTTGGAATTGCCATTAAAAGCAATTCATTGTTCCAGCATCATATTCCTAGGCGACGCCGCGTCCAAGATATGACCCTGAGTGAAGAGCGAATTCACATTCATCTTTCCAAGATGATGGATGGAGAGACTGGAGTACATGTAAGGTAAGGTAGTCATGGCGAGTGGTTTAGGATGTGAACCTGAGATATGAACGCTTGAAAGTAAATTGCTAGTCTATGCTGTATTATTTGAACGCCAAAAAAACGCCTTAGCTTGGGATATCTTCCAGATCTTCTACACAACGCTCGCCAACATGCCACACCATTTATACAATTACAACTCTACAGGCTGCGACCCTTTATTTGTTGACTTGGATCAATCCGGGACCTGCCAGGGTTGCCTTGGGAATGTCGTCAGGGTTGGTGAACTTGCCCTCGTACGTAAGTGCAGCAATAGACAGGCCAAACATGCTGTTCTTATCGAAGGGAAATTCGGCCTGGAAGGCGATTCTCGCGCCGTCCCACTGTGGGTTCATGACTGGGACGCTCAGGGGAACGTTGAGTCCACTCAGGTAGGTCACGAACAAAGGTGCCTTGTCCTTGCCGAGGAAACGGCCTGCCGTGACGATCTCCCGCAAGTCGACTTCGAAGTTGAGCATCTGGTTCTTAGCCTCAATTTCTCCTCCTGCCATCTGCATAACATTCAGTGGCGCAAAGACGGGGATGTCGATCTGGTTCATCTTGAACGGGCAAGAGTCTTTGACAACGAAAGACTGGAGCGCAGAGAAGGCGAATGGCGCGATAGAGGTCGTAAGGAAAGGCTGCGACGACGGCGGGCGCGAGAGAATGCTGCGATAGAATCCATTTTGCTCGCCCTCTTGGCCGATGACGGCACTAACGGCTCGGACGGGTCCGGCGTCGCCATTCTTTGCCAGCAGCTGGTTTGCATCTTGCAGAGTGCCGAGCACCACAGAGGTAAAGGTTTCGGCGAGGGCCACGGCTGATTTCAAGTCGTTTGTCGGGAACTGATACTTGCAAGGCGGAGGTGAAAAAGCCTTGAAGTGGTCCAAGACACCCTTAGCGTCGAGCGCATGGAGCTTTTCTTGCTGTCATAGCTGTCAGTGCCAGTTCCACGAATCCCGATGACAACCTTCTTTTGCTTCTTCGCTGACCAAAGGTAAGAGAAACTCACAGCAACAACAACCTTAAGCGCGTCGACCATCTTATCCTTCTCGGTTGTTTCCCAGCCAGGTCCTCCATTGGTGACGTTTTCCAGCATGGATGAGAA